GGGGGGGAGCCAACTTCATATGCAAGTGAGGAACATTCCCTAGGGATGGTGGTGAAGGCAGTCTCTGAAATTGCTCATTCCAGAAGGCTGCAGAAAGAGACTTGCACCACCTCATCTAGGTCTGTGCTGCTCAGGGCTGGCACTCCAGTGGTGCTATGGTGCAGGTGGCCCTTCTGGGCCTTTTAGGAGGTCCACATGCATTGTGCGCGGGCCCAGAGGAGTGAGATGCTCTCTCCCGCATTGTATGTGGGAAACGTATTTTATACGTTTTACGTTGACTGGTAGTAGAGCACGGTATAAAAACTACCCGCAAACAATGTGTTTACTGTATCAAATTCTAAGGTATTTGTTTCTGCAGCATTTCCTTTCCATTCCTTCTTTAAATTCTGGGACCTGGAATGTGTCTTGACCCACCATTTCTCCAACAGCAAGCCATCTCCCCAACCCTGTCTTCACTACCCTGCCTCTACCAACATTTGCTTTCCCCCTGGACCCCAACGTCTTTTTGTGGAGGGTGAAGGGACTATGGTGCAGGAAGGGGATTTTTTGCACAAAGAAACTCAAACTTTTCATTACAGTAAACTCGGAAAATATAAGGGAAAAATTCACCCCTAGATTACTGTTAACATCTAGTTTGTTTACCTCTGCTCATTTTCATAATTAGCATGTCATGATGTCACTGTTCTCCTGCCCTTCCCACCACATTTCCACACCTGAAGAGCATTCTTATGTGGTCTAGTTATTTTCTCTTACAGTAAAGAACACTCTAAGGAAATTGCTGTATCCATCCTGTCTAGTCACTAACAAAGACATGGTATGTTTTTCTTTCTCAATGTAGAGAAGTCATTCAGAATTCAAAAGAAGTTCTGCGATTATTGCAAGAAAAAAACCCTGCCTTTAAGCCGGTTCTTGCCATTATTCAGGTAAGCTGAGAGTGGTGGCCCTGTCCTGCTACTTTAGAATGCCTTTCGATTTTGAAGATAATTGTATACAAAAGATCAGCTGCATTTCTTGTCACAGAAGTGCCATTTGATCTTAATGATGGGAAGAGAAGGCTCAGCTGAAACTGCTCTCATTTCCCTTCCTTTGGTCATTTTGCTTCCATGGGGCTCCAGGTTAGGTACTGCTCTGCTTGAGCAACTCTCTGTGAGTCTTCCTCTTTGGTGCGGGTAGCTTCCAGAGGTCAGAAGGCAGGTGCTCACATAGGTTCCATTACACAGGATTCATTGTGGCCCACTCATAAATGTTTATCACGTGTGATTCGAAGACGATAGGGGAAAAAAGTTCCCCTTTGTTTCCGTGGAAGACAGATGGCTTGCTGAGACACGGTATCGGGTAATCTTACTACTAAGTCTTTGAAAGCCTGCCATAAGTCCAAAGGGCCAAAAGTCATTGCATGTCAGAAGTACTTCCACATTCCATGTGCATTCTATGTGCCTTGGGCCCCTTTGTGTCCAAGTGCAGTTGGCACTGTTTGCCATCCTGTTGGCACACCCATGTGATGACAGGTGCAGGGAAATAATGAGCTGAGCCAAGCCTGTAAACCAACACAGCACTGCAGTTGGACTGCTACTGTCGTTTTTGGCATGCACTTTATATGTCAAAATAGCAGTGTCGAGTTCCATCAGCGCTGTCATTTTCGAGATGAGAGCTATGCTCAGATCACTCGCATTCCTTGCAGTCTGTCTCTACCTGGCCCACAGAGATAGGCCCCTGAGAAGAGTAGAAGTAAAGTGGGTCGGGAGCCTGGGCCTCCTGGGACGACTCTGCTTTCCACCTCCCGGCAGGTCATCTAACCCGTCTTCGGTGTCCTTGTTTAGAAAGGGATGCCTGAGAAACAGTTAGGTTAATAGCAGCCATCAGTCTCCTTTTATGAGCAGTAAGGTTCTCTCTGCGCAAGTTCCTTGTCATCTTTGTAGTTGGATCGCTAGAATCACCAGATCAGGCTCTTGTTCTGTGCCTTTTCACAATGTTTCTCTGTTCCCCTCTCCTAAGGCAAGTGATGACAACTTGATGCAGGAAGTCAACCAGAATTTGGCAGAGGAGGTAAGAACTGTTGCTTTTCAAAAGTTCACGATGATTTTCTTGATGGTACACGCACGCAGTAACAAAATAACCTCACGTTGCCGTTTCAGGCCGGCCTGAACATCGCTCACATTTGCCTTCCTCCGGAGAGCGGCGAGGACGAGGTAATTGCAGCGCTGCCCTTGAGCCCGCGCATCCTCCCCGCCTCAGACCTGGGAGACCCGTCAGCCTCTTAGTTGTGATCGGAACAGACGGAGCCTTTCCCTGTGGCTGGGCTTACGGGGGGGAAGGGCGCGCTCTCCCCTTCGGCGTAAATGCCCCATGATCTTGTCCCTTACTGCACATTTCCGTGGAGGACACGGGCTAGTGTGAGGAGACTGCGGGTACGTTTCTTCAGGGTAGCCGCAGGGTCACCCGGTAGGAATCATCTGAAGGCTAGTTCTGGGTTTGCTCTGTCCTGACAAGTCTTTGCCCGTGAGCCATCCCTTTGGCTTCCCTGGATCACAGGGAAGCCAAACTGATGATAAAGGTGCCTAACTGATGATAAAGGAACAGGACGAGGTCATCGTCAGGGTCCCCTCCAGGCTGACATTCTGTGAGTGCCGCTGCGGCACCTGGTGAGAACCCCCAGAGCATCCTTCCGCTGCTGCTGCGTGTGACTTAGTGGGTCCTGCCAGCGCCGCGCGACAGCCTTCGCACGTGTCCTCCGGCGCCTGGCAGGAGCGCCCACCCCATAAGTCGCTGTGCGGAAACTGGGCTCCGGCCGTGGGTTCCGGGCCCTTCCCTGGCAGCTTTCCTTCCTGCCGTGGTAATTGTGGGCAGTCGAGATTTAGTGACTGCCAGTGACAGTAAGTCGCAAACAGCTGAGTCTGAAATAACGCAGAAGCTCATTTTTCTTGTACATGAATGGAGTTGAGAGGCAGGCAGGCAGGCAGGCCCGGGCTGGTGCGCTGGCATCGCGAACTCGCTGCGCACTCGCTCCTTCCGTCCTGCTGCTCCGCCATCTTAGTGGTGCTACGTCATACGTCACCGCCAAGATGGCGGACTCGGCGCCAACGTCACTTCCGCGTTCCAGCCGCGTCCGATAAAAAGGAAATCCGGACGCAGGAAGGAGAGACGGCATCAGAGCGAGCAGGATAATGCGCGGAAAAGGTGGTCACAGTAGGGGCGGCTCTCTGGCGGTAAGACGCGAACGCCTCTGAAAATGAGCGAAAGGGGTTTTCTTCTTATTTTTTAGCCACAGTTTATACTGAATACTGTTCCGCACCAGTTTCAGATGTACAGCAAGACTGACAGGCGCGCGCTCCGCCGAGGGGCGGTGTGCCCCCCCCCGCCCCAGGCACCCACTGGCCCGAACCCCATTATCTTGGCGTTACTGACTCTCTTTTCCACGCTGCAGTCCGCGTCTCTGCGGCTATTCTGCAACTACCAGGTGTCCAGAATTTATAAAGAACCCAGACAACGTAACCCCAGGAGAACAAACAACCTAGTGGAAAGGCGGGCAGAACGCCTGAGTGGACACTTCCCCGAGGACGTGAGGGAATTGCTCAGCGTTGCTAACCAGCGCAGACAGGAACAGGGGTTTTCTTTTCTAGGGAAGGGCAGAGGAGCCTAGAAAGAACCCGGTGGGAGAAAGTGGGGTGAAAGGGCTCCTTGGTGAGAGACCGGAGAATGTTCCACCCGAGTCCGGCCTGCTCTCAGAAGGGGCTGTCTGCTAACCCAGGGCAGGCCAACGGGTAGGAACCTGGGGGGGGTGGGGGAGAAGCTTGCCCGGAGTCTGACCAGCAGGCGTTTGGTTCTGATGGATCAGTGGGGACGAATAGTTAAGATAATTAGAGTCAAAATATGGCGATTTGTAGGGTCTGTGTCTGGCCTTGTCCTAGGCAGATAAGGGAATATCAGTGAGAATTTATTCTTTGCAGTACACAGAGGGTGGGGTGACTTCTTAACCGTCCCTGTTTTCCAGGATCATAGGACTCGGTTCAACAAGATCTTACTTATCGCCAGCAAGTTAAAGGAAGGCAAAAGACAGGCCCCCTACCTCTTCCCTTCAAGGACCTTTCCCGAAAGTCACCCTTCTGCTTTCATTCCCTTGGCCTGAACCTAATTGCTTGGCCACATGCAGGGGAGATTGGGAAATGTAGTCTTTACACCAGGTGGCCTTAAATCATTTATTATCACACCTAAAAATCAAGAGTATTCTAAGTAGGAAAGGAAACCGGGTATTGGGCAGATAGTTTCTGCCACACTTGTCATTGTATTATTACAAATATTGATATCTCTTGAACCACTATTAACAAAATGCAGAGAAATACATTGTCCATTTGTAGAAAGATACCCACTGTCTGCAGTAGAATCTGCATTTCTTTAGGTGGTTTTACCACTGGTGTTGATAGCCCTTGACTTTTATTTTTTTTCCCTTATTTTTTTGACAAGGAGTCATTTATACCCTATTTTTCTTTGAAATTCTGATAATTTGTGTGGTGGTGGTATTATGTTGGAAAAGAGTAAGGATCTTAATTTATTAAGATTTTGTTGTTGCTTCTATCACATCCTAGTTACAGGTAACCATAGTGCCCTCACTTCATTCTGGACTCTGCTTAGATGTTACCCCCTCTGACAAGTCCCCACCTGACATCACTGTATTAGCCCTTTATCCTGCTTAACATGCTTTGTTTTTCTTACATTATTTACCGCTTCAAAAGATTATAGTATTATTATTGGTCTCATCTTCTCCACTGTAAGCTCTGTGAAGGCAGGAATTTTGTTTACAGCTCTATTTCCTTTACTTAGAACTGGTCAAAGTAGGTGCTCAAAACACTCATCAGATGTTGAATAAATGAGTGAATTAGGAAATTTCTTTCTGAATTTTATATATCAAATAACTTTTTCTTCTCTTACCATAGTGAATTCTGCTAGACAGTGAAACAAACATGGTAAACCACTTCCTAGTAAGACCCATATCCATGGGCTAGTATCTTTTACTTATGGACAGTGTATGAAGTGAAATGAATCATTTCTCTCCTGGCATAAAGTAAAGATAATGGAGAGTACAGAGTATTGCTTAGTCATACCTAGCCATTCATTAGCTAGCACATGAGTGTCCCAAACTGTACTGTAGTCTTTTTCATAAACACTGAATTATTTTAGTGTTTCCTGTAGAAAAGGAGATATCTATGCTTAGAGTTTATTTATCATAAGCCTTTGGAAATGCTTTCTATGTGCTGTTCAGGTCCAGAGAACATGAGAGCCTGAGTGACGACTTCTTGGATGTCATGAGTAGTAAGCTTTTGTTGAACACACTGTGTTTGAAACAGGCTTGGCTGGGCCAGGTGGAATGCTTGATCCATGCTTCCTGGCCTCCCTGGAAGTTGGCAGTCTGCTTGGCTCACATGTGATTGTTGACAGCAAGTTGTCTTTGCCTATCTAAACTTTGCTAACTGTTGAGCTTTGGTTTTGTTCTGTTCCCTTCTGTTTTGGCTGAGAGCAGAGTGATAAGAACGACTGAGAAGCCACTAAAAAATGTAGTCAGGCTTTTTCTTGAGCATTTCTAAACATAGTGAAAAGAGAAAATAGACTTCTTCATTGTGCTTTACACCAAGTCTTCAACAAGGAGTAAAAAAGAAATTATAATCGATGCATTTTTATGAATCTAATTTTTATATAAAGCTGCTTTTGTTAGGGCTTATTTTGACAAAACAGGTTTTAGTTGTTTTTCCTTTTTAGATTATAGATGAAATCTTGAAGATTAATGAAGACACGAGAGTTCATGGCCTTGCCCTTCAGATCTCTGAGAACTCATTTAGCAACAAAGTCCTCAATGCCCTGAAGCCAGAAAAAGATGTGGATGGGTAAGAAAATATGAAAGAAAACAATCAATTCTAATTGCTAACTAAATGAGTTTTTTACTGTGATTTTTATTCCACTGTTTCAACCATGTCAGTAATTAAGAAAGGAAGGAAATCACTTTAATATTTAACATCATTTAAATATCATATAGTATTTGGAGAGTTTGGGGGCCTCTGAAATTTAGTGTAAGAAACTTATCTGTTTTAAAAAACACACTTGCCCTTTTGTAGTGCAGATTCACAACACCCGAGGTCATCCTGACTCATAGGGACCACAGCAAAGTGTCCTGAGGGGCTACTCTAAGAAACTAATGGCTTTTATTCCTCCCACTCTTGAATTTATATTTGATTTTTAATACGTATACCTACCCCAAACTGACTTGGATGTTATTGCGGATTAATCCACGTAAATTACAGATGAGTGAGTTTTGACCAGTTTTGACTGCTGGTTGCCTTATTTTTGGTTTCAGAGTAACAGATGTAAACCTGGGGAAGTTGGTGCGTGGGGATGCCCATGAATGTTTTATTTCACCTGTGGCGAGAGCTGTAATTGAACTTCTTGAAAAGTCAGGTATGATGCTCCTGCAGAAATGCTGCTGTTTTCTATTTACTGGTATTTACATTATTTTTAAATAAGATTTGTTTCTAGGATGTCAAGATTCTAATTGAAACATGGAAGTGTGGTAATTCAGTGTCAGCTTTATTTATATCATTTTTTTGAGAGATGAGTGACTATGGGAGATTTTTTTAAATAAGATGAACTGTATTGCTATTTAAAAGAGAAATCAGTAAAGATAACCTGTTTTAAACAAATTCTCAACTTCTCTCATGAAAACAGTCAAAATAACCGCAATGAAAAATGTGTCAGGTTTTAACTTCTCAAATCAGTCAATATGTATACCTATAAAAGACATATTTGAGGTTTAAATGAGGAAGCTGTTAGATATAGTTTAGGGTATAAAAAGCTAGGTTGGGATTTGTCATAAGCAACATCTCTGAGGAATCAGCATTTAATTTCCCTCATTCTTCTCTTGATCTTGCATTTTTATGTCTGGGACACAGACATGAATAATTTCTTTTTCTTGGTTATTAAATTTAATGAGTAAATTATTGCTGCTGTCTTCTATATTTAAGGACTTTCTTCTAGCTGAGTTCATAAAAATTCAGCTAACTAAATTTTTCCCTACTACAGCTTGAGTAAAAAATAGGCACATGTCCCCCCCTCTCACCTTAACAAGCAACAGTCACACAAAACTTCCAAAATACGTACCAAAGTTCAGTTGGAAAATTAACTTTCAGGATAACACCTTTAGGACATTAGCCATTAAGCTCAAGTCTGAGATAGTTCACATAGACAGTGGTTTTCATCCCATAGATTATCGGGATGATGATTCTTGGTCTCTCTGCCATCAATTTGCAACGGAAGGGTCAATTATGGCTCAGTCATTGTAGGCTGGTGCTCAGAGGGCCAAGTTTCAGAAGATTATTTCTTACATTAAAGCTGTATGGTAGGAAAGCTCTGACGGATTGTAATACTGATTTCCATTTTGTGGGCAGGTGTCAGCTTAGATGGANGGCTCTGACGTTTGGATTGTAATACTGATTTCCATTTTGTGGGCAGGTGTCAGCTTAGATGGAAAGAAGATCTTGGTAGTAGGGGCCCATGGGTCTTTGGAAGCCACCCTACAATGCCTGTTCCAGAGAAAAGGGTCCATGACAATGAGCTCCCAGTGGAAAACGCCTCAGCTTCAAAGCAAGGTGAGCATCATACCTATTGGAAACAGAACCTTAAATACTTATAGTAGAAAGGAGAAGGGCTGGAAATGTATAGGCTAAATATTTAATGTAAGAAGTTAGAGAAGGAACAGCAGAGAATCTCAAAGGATGGGAACAGTAAAGAACAAAGATGAATGAAACAGAAAACTATAAATGAGAGGTTATCAACAAAGCCAGAAGTTGGTTCTTGGAAAAGCCTAGCACAGTAGACATACCATTAGCCAAAACAGATAAAAAGAACACCAGCAGCATTAGGAGTGAACAACGGTGGTTTAACATCAGAAAATCTGTTACTGTAATTCACCAACCACACCGTCAGATTGAAAACTATACTCTTACCATATAGGTGAAGAAAAATTTGATAAAATCTAGTATCCTTTATAGTATTTTTTCAGAAAACCTCTTAGACTAGGAATTTAAAGGAATTCCTTAATTCGATAAAATATCTAGAAAAAGAGCAAGTACCTCATTTAATAGTGAAATATTAAAAGCATTTTTTAAAACTAGCAAAGACAAAGGGTACCTGTTATCAGTACTCCTAATCAGCACTATATAGGAATTCCCAGATAAGCTGTTGTAGAAAGAAAGAAAATTTATAATGATTGGAAGGCAAGACATCCAACTGTTTTTAATCCTAGATACAGTTTTCTACATAAGAAGCCCAAAAGAATCTGTTAAAAACTATAACACTTAATAAGAGTTCACCTGGGTTCTTGGATATAAAATGAACTTGCAAAACCCACTTGGGCTTCTAAATAGTACACCCACAGTTAGAAAATATTTTTTAAAAATGCAATTTCTAATAATAATGAGAATATAAGGGAATAATTTAACAAAAGTTATTTCTGAACTTTTGAAAGAAATTACACAATTTTGATGAAACTCATTAAGAAGGCCAAATAAAAGCATGGATAAGAAGACTCACTATTTTCAAGACACTACTTCTCCCCAAATTAATCTATAAATTTGAGTCAAAATTCCGACCTATATTGTTTTGTAGAATTTGACGAGCTGATTCTAAAATTTATATGGAAGCACAAGGACAAAGACAATATTGAAAGAAAACTAGAGGACTTTTTAAAACTACATTCACGGCAAGACAGAGCAGAAGGATAAATTTTGTTTCACAAACACCACTTCTATAAGGTCTAAAAGCAATACTAATTAGTATATATTTTCAGGGCTATGTATATATAAAGTAAAAATATGAAGAAATGAATTGGGAAGTATGAACCAAATCAGGAAAACCATTTACAGGGACTGTAAATGGAAAGGAGACCTGAGAATCTTCACTTGTATTGCTCATGCCTTTTTTTAAATCTGGACAATGAGTGGGGTATCCAGGTTTGTTATATTATTTTTCTAAAGTTTCATGTCTTAAATAGTTAATACATTCTTTAATTTCAAAAAATTACAATGCATTTCACAAATGTCAAGCAAAGTAAAGTTAAAAGCACATTAAGTACTGTAAATTAGCACATGTTCCTCATGTTGCTGCATGAGAATGTAAACAAGCAAGTTGTAGCCCTGCTGGGGGAAGGCTGACATCCCCTCTGAGACGGAGAATGTTTGAGTGGGGGGTGGATCAAACCTATTTCTTGTTTTAAGACAGCTCAGGAATTTGGTCTTGCAATTAAACTCAAACCAGTGTGTATTTTAGTGGTCACCACAAGGTGGCAGCCTATTCAAGAAAATGCGAGGTCAGTGTTTTGTCATGTAGAGCCCTGGATTTTTTATTTGAAGCGTAGTGGAGAGGAAAATAAACCTTGCCCTGAACTAACAGCTGTGGTGAAAGAGAGAAATGCCTTCATTGGCAACTGAGTGTTTTCACAGCTGTCACAGATACTTTTGCTAGTTGTCTCTGTATTGTTGAAAAACAAAGACATCTTTTAAAGTACTTTTTTATTATGGAAATAAATCACCTAACTTCTCTGGGATAAATCTCATTCTGACTTTGAGAACGATTAAGTAGCTTTGCTCTCTAGAGAATCTAGAAGTTGGGTAACATTTCTGTTTTCATAAATCCAAGAAGGTTCTCTCTAATGACTCATGTTGCACACATATTTTGTTTTCTAAGGCCCTGGTACTTATAACAGCACCACCGTGAATCTTAGAGCCTGTTAACTGTCACTCTTTTTATTACTTTACCTGTTTTTGAAGTTTATTTGGTGTCTGGTGTTTGGCCCCATCTACCTGGCCTACTTGTGTGACAGGCGCCCATCCCACCTCAAAATAAAGCCTGCATCTTCCCATTTTTCATGCTAGTATTTAGTACGTCACCAGCCACTTACCTTCCCACCCATATGTCTCCATAGCTCTGTATGACCTTTGCCTTTATTTCTATATATTGCTGGGCCTTGTTTCAGGAGGTCAGTAGTCCCTCTGCTGACCACAGTCAAAGGGTGGCAGTTAATGTGGTACATAGAGCCCCTGGGCACAGGTTAATGTCCTAGGGCACCCAAGTGGGGCAGGCCGTGCCCACTCTTGCCACATCCTTGGGAAAACATCACTGTTGAAAACATCGAATGTATAAATTTAACAACTGATTGGGATTTTTTGCCTTCTAATTTCATTGACCACCAGTAACAGTGCATTTTAAGATCCTTGTCCATTTAGCTTCTCAGTATCAGCAGTGATGTGGTGGGGAAAGAAAAGGGCAAGCAAAGGCCTGTGGCTGTTAGGTCAAAGGGAATTACCTTTGAAAAGCTTTTCTCACGTGTTTGTTTGTACCTGGCATGGAACAAGAATCCCTGTTAGCTGTCTGGTTGGGGATTTCCAAAGCCAAGGGCATGAGGGGTTTCTGAGTTGGGTTTGCCATGTAACACTAGAGTCCTATCTACCTCCTCCTAAACTCCATATAGCCTTTCAAGTTTGGGATGACCTCCAGTTAATCGCAGCCTGCTGCAACCAGTAGGAACTGCCTTCAAAGGTTTGGGGTCAGGCACAACATGTGTGTCCTCAATGAGCAGTAGAACGTAGGCTTCGGTGACAAACAGGTCGGAGTTCAAGCCTTGGCCGTTGCTTAACTTCTGTGAATTCGTCTCCTCCTGTGTAGAATTGGGATCATGACACTCCTACCTCAATGGGCTGCTTTGAGAATTCAATAATTGTGTAAGTTTGCTCAGCACAGCCCTTGGCACCTATTAATATTCACATTAACTGCTTGACTGCTGTTAATAGTAAGTCAGGGAAGACATTGGCAAGTCTCCATATAGATGTGTAATTGATCCAGGATGTAGGAAGGCAGGTGGCTCAATCAAATCATAAGGAGATAAACCCCAACTGGACCCAGAATCCCTCATTCAAAGCCTGGTGTACATACTTCCACTGCATGGCTGGGGGGAAGGAGAGAGTCACTCTGTCTGTGAGGTTTCCAACAGTATATGGAAGCCAAGGGAACTAAACCAAAGCCAAACTAAAAGACAGTGTCTAAGAAAGAGTGGGTGCCTAGCTTCCGCAAGGCCCAGCTCCCCCTCTGGTCCCTCTGCCTTCCCGTGATTCCTCTGTTACTCAGAAGCCACTTTATTTTACCTCGTATCTGCTGGGGATTTCTGGTTTACCAGTTATTCCTTCCAGGTCCTACAATGTTGAGGAACAGTTACATCGAGTTAGTTTAATAGAAACAGATCCTTTGTCTATCAGCCTGCCTAAATCTAAGGTTATTCTTTGGATACCAATGATGCATAAAATCTTCATGGAGCCTGAGTGTGAGGAATTGAGGTTTGTCTTTTAGAGTTCTACAGAACACAGTAAATTTCTGTATTTGGTAGCTTTATAGTTTATGCCCATCTGAATGTATCATTGAAAACTAAGAATCAGTTTCCTGCTTTGTGTCTGAACTTTGAGATGCCTTACGCATTTATTGGGGGGCGGGGGGATGTCTGGGCATTTGTCCAAATTAGCCCCAAGCTGTGGATCATCAGATGTCTGTGAGCAGAGCACTGGGCTGATGCTTTTGCTGAGGGCTAAGGAATAACTAACTTCCTCCAGCCCCACCCTCAGCTTTCCCGGCCCCTGGAGTGGAGTGACCCCAGTGTGGAAACAGGGCAGAGCCATCACTCAGAATTGTCCTAGATTTGGAGATAACCTCTTCCTCATCCTCATGAGTTGTTCACTCTGATGCCAGAAGCAATCCAAGGTGAGAGACTGTTCCACATTTAGTCCTTAGGAGGCAGAGTGGTACCTCTCCAGGGAGGAGGGTGACAGGCACCCCAGGGCTCTGTGCAGTGCCTGCTCACTCTCCTAGCTGAGAGCCGTTTCTGCATCTGTGTTAGACACAGCTGGACCACGATGCGAGCAGCCTCCAGCTGTGACGAATCACGTCAGTCCCAGCTGCGCATATGAGAAATAACCTAGAAATAAGAGAAGCGTTTTATTTTGTTTTTCTCAGAGGCTCTCATTTCTCCTCCTGAGCACAGAGACCCTCAAAACTAGAACTAACAGAAGAAAGAAAAAGTACAGGTCTTTCATATTTACAGAATCAAAGTATGTTTTTGTGTGTTTTTTTTTGAGCAAAGCTTAATTGTCACAAAGTCATTCTCAGTTTAAATTCAGAGCATAGCATAGCTTATAAAAGGCTTTTAAAAGTGAATTTTAAAATTCTAAACATGAAATCTTTTCCAAGATTGGGAGGGGGCAAAAACCCTAGCTTTTAAACAACTAGATTAGTGAGTTGCATGATAATTCTTTTACATATGTATTTATAATTTTTAATGCATTTGTCTTTTAAATCCTGGAGAAAATAAAAAGTGTAGTTGTAAACCAAAAATACAGTAACAACTGGCTTTCCTGGACATCTTTTTTTCTTCATATGTCTTGGAGTCACTGTCTAGTTTCCTTTCATTTTAAGCTGCAGAAATCCCTTTCACATTTCTTATAGGGCAGATCTAGTGATAGTGCACTCCCTCAGTTTTTATTAATATGCAGATGAGTTAATTTTGTCCTCATATTTTTGAAATATATTTTTAGTGGATATAGAATTC